CCGCCGCTAGAGGGGGCCGCGCCGGGGCCCGGCAGCCTCAGCCTCCCTGCCTGCAGGGGCTGGACTGCCCCCGGATGCGGGGGGCGGCGGAGGGAGCGCGGCGATGCTCCTCCGCCCCGGGGAAGGAGATAGCTTCGGGGCGGCGGGGCCTTGTGGCTCAGGCCTTGCAGCCGGCTGCGCGAGGGGCGAGCACCCTGCCCGGGAGCTCCCCTGGCCTAGAAAGAGCTCGGACGGCTCCGAGCCCAGCTCCCCGCCCCTCCCCCTGTGTGGAGCCTTATATAACACTTTGCAGTGTCATTAGCTTGGGCTCCCGCTGCTCCCCCATGCTGCCTGGCCCTGTCTTCATTCCCCAAAGGACTGATACCTAGTCTCTTGCTCCTCCTAAATACAGGCTTGCAGGGGCTGGGGTCGGTTGCATGGAGTTGGGGCCCCTTCAGCACTTGAACTAGTGAAATCGTCAGGTTCCCAGCTCCAGGGCCCCACTGGGAGCTTCAGTTGTTCCCTCCTCATTATGCGGAGGGCTGCTTTCTCCAGTATCCACAACGACCCGATGATGCTTTCCTCTTGTTAGCCAGTAAACTGCTGCCGCTTGTACCTTGAGCCATTTGCTCGTTGGCTGTTTGTGCGCTGAGGTCTCTGCGTTGGAGGGAGCCTTGTGGTTCTGTCTCAGAACCTTAAGATTGGAGACAAAGGAAAAACTACAGAAGCACATACTGTAGGCCATGTACATGGTGGCAGTGCAGGATCGTATATTTTAAGTGACTGAGGAATCCCTTTTATTTCCCTGCTTGCAGAATTACTTTTGCTGTTTCAAGTCCTTTGCTGTGTTCACACAGTGTAATTTCAGAACACAGGGCCTTGAGACCTCACAGCCCTTAAATATTCACTTTTCCATTGTTACCTAGGTCATGGAAAAAATCACAAAGATGCTGCTTCAGTCAGGGCCACGCATCCCATACCTGCAGCTTGTGGCATTTATTACTTTGAAGTGAAGATTGTCAGTAAAGGTAGAGATGGGTAAGTACACTGCTCCAATTTGATTTTACTGGTGGTTACATGTATCTTCTGTACTCAGTCTTGTTTGCTGAATGGGTTAGAAGTTTATTTGACAGCTGGTGTTTATAACAGGTATGTGTGTTAGTGGGTTATATCTGCATAGTCAACAGGTGGCACACCGGTAATATGTATTGGAATGAGGTGCCCTTATGTAGCTGCTCTCTGCTTAGTTCTATGTGGGCAATAAGTACTGCTCAGGAAGGCAATTTCAATTTCATTGGTGTTTACTTTGTTTCAGGGATGTCTGCTTGGTATTCAGGCAGCTGGAAATGGGAGGAGAGGAGGGACCTGAGGGAAGAATATTAGATGTCCTTGTTAGGAAACATATAGGAAACCAGTCCAAGTAACTTCGTACAGCATGGAAAAATTCTGTATTTCTAAGGTCTGAAAACAGACTGTCTGTAAGCCTAAGGATTTATTTTCATGATTTTTTTTTCATCAAAATGTGTGGAGGCTTTTTTTTAAATGGTTATGGGGACAGGGTTAGGGTTAGTGAATTAAGGGATCAAGAGGAGCCATTAAGTAACAGAAAGGAACTATTGTGTAAGCTACAACTCAAGAGGTAGATCACTAGCTCTATTCATCAGCCCAGTTAGTCTTCTGAAAGACCAAATTGAGAAGTTAGGACATCTTTGAATTGGTTGAGTGACTATAATGTTTTGATTTGGTTCCTGCTTTTCAGGCTGCCTTGGGGCAGCCTTGATGTTTTGAAATGAAGCGTAAGAAGGTGCTTTCAGATTTGGAGGAGCTGTGAATATTATGTTTTGATGGTCATGCTGTCTGGATGGACAACAAGTAGCAGTAATTGAGCTCTGGAACATGAGCTTCTCCCATCTTGTCCAGAAACTGCTTATGAATAGCCAGGGAAAGGATCATTTAAAATAGAGAAAAAGAGGCCTTTGTTAATGTAGGCAGGATCTAGGTGTTTTCTATCATCAGTTGAACAGGTGCTGGTTTATGACAGGCAGCAGTTGTGTAGGGAAATCCTAGTGTTGGACACAAAATACAAAAAATGAAGTTCTTCCAATAGATTTAACTTTTGATATCTTGTAGGATACTACCAGCTAACTGCATTTATTCTCTAATCCAGGGGTTTTCAACTAGGGGTACACGTATCCCTGGGAGTACTTTGGAAGGTCCCAGGGGGGGATGCGTCAGTGCACTGGAGGAGCCACTGGCACTTCTGTTTTGCCGCTGTGCAGGGGACCCCCCTCCCTCCAGCTTGTCGACCGACTGCTGGGGGACTGCCTGCTTCTTGCCTGGCCACTGGGGGTACCTTGACCAAAAAAGAATGAAAGCCCCTGCTCTAATCCATTCTCATGCAGAGCAGCTTGAAGCACAGCAAAGGCAGCATATACTGTCTGGTGCTAGAAGCAGAATATGAACCATGTCACTTTGCAGTATCCACAAATAGGCAGCTCACTGAGTGGTGTTGTTGACTGCTTAGTTTGGCTTCTATCCAGCCTTCTACTTGATTGTGATCCCTACATAAGGTAATGCTCTGGATGAAAGTCTAAAGAGTGTATGAGAGTGAGGGGAGTTCTGTATTTTTTCAGGGATGTTGGGAGGAGAGAGGAAGAAATAGTATGTTTAGCAAGTCTAGCAATAATATTGCTTCTGATCCTCATGACCTAGCTTGTGTAGATGTTAGCCATCAGGAAACAGATGCACTTTTTCTGCATATGTATCCCCTATAGCAGTAACTTAAAGGATTGTGATGGCAATTAAGGAGCCATCTTTACCAACTCTGTCATCTCAAAGGCTAAGATCCACTGGACCCAGATACCCCATTGGGCTAACACGGTTAAGGCACACCAATTTCTGTAGCCAATATTACTCAGAAATGATGTGGCTGGCATCATGTCTGGTTGCCTTTGGCTCCTGAGCCCAGGTTACCAGGTACCGTTGACAGCTGGGTCAAATGGGAGAGGTGCTTTGTCTGAGCCCAGAGTAGGGCTTGAGCTTGCTTCCACAGTTGAAGGAAAATACATCGATTGCTCTTCTGTAGTGCTTTGCTACCTACTTGCAGAAGTGTAGGAATCAACTTTTGTCGTTTCCAGGCTTACTGGTACAATGCCATCCTACTAGAACAATGCAATGGCATGTCTGCAGTGATCTTGTTCCAAAGTCAAAATCAAGCCTATGCATTTTGGAATTTTTTTTTCCTGTTGCTGAAAGAGGGAGAAACTAGACAGCTGCATTGGGAGTGCTGAGGTTGAGACATAAAATCATATACGTTCTGTGTTATGGCTGCCATAGTACTCGCAAAGAAAGCTTCTCATCATAGGCATTGTACTAACAGGCCCTGTGTTGGAGGTTCTGTAGCACTTACTTACACATGCTGTGCTAACAGTTTTCAGTGATTTATTCAGCATGTAACTTCTCTCAGTTTGGGACTTTCTCTTGCTCAATTATATGCTGTAGGATCTGTCAACAGTTAGACTGCTACAACCCCTTTAACTCAGAACCTGCTTTTTTAGAATTTGTGCCTTACTTGATGTTTTGTTTCTTATCCTACTGATTTAAGGCTCAGTATGTTGGTTACTTTGTGTCAGGCAGATGACTTACTCTGCTACTGAGTTTGCCAGTGCTTGGGATATTGGGATGCTAATGACTTCTGTTTAAAAAGTGAAAGACCAGAGTTGGGTGGTGGAGAGAAAGGGAATACCCCAACATTAGAAGGGGTTAACTTGTATCTCCTGGGATTCTGTCTGTAATGTCCTCTAAAGGGCATCAGGAAAGCTTTTTTAAGTTGTTTCCAAGCTGTCTATATCAGATCCAAATTTCTACTTTGTAGCTTGTTGCTCTGAACCTAGAACTGTTTCTTGCTGTATTAATCAGCATTTAGCCTGAAAACTGGGAGAAGACTATTTAATCATGCTCACTTGCTCTGTATTGCTTGATGCTGTGTTGCTTACTTTAACATGTTTTGAAGTGGCTATGTGATCAGCCTTCAAAGGAAGGCTGGAATTGATCAGGTGCTGGTAGAACCAGTTTTGCTAAATGTGTGGTGGGGATACCTGAATGTGATAGTGTTCAGCATGAAGTAGATCATTTTTTCCTAAATCTGTTCTTTAAACTTCAACGTATGGCATGTGGCATTTTGACAAGGCTCATTGACTAGGCTTAACTGAAATGTTGGCATTTGCCGCTACATAAGGCAGTTTAATTTTGTGGGTGAAGAAGTTGGGTAGAGGCTGAGCCACTATGCAGCAGTCCCCACTGACAGCTCTTTCTGGTTGTAGGAAAATAGCTGGAGGCTTACATTTCTAGCTCTTATTTCATAATGTGGTGTCAAATTTTGCTTTCCTAGAATATGGTTTTATTCTGTGATTTTGAAGTAGGATCAAAGACTGTGCTGTTTTAGTGCTGCCATTGTGTAAAGGTTATCTTATGTCAATGGTATATTCCCACAGGGAAACAGAGCAAACCGTCTCTTCCTAAATGCCCTTTTCATCAGAACAGTTCTTTTTTCTTGATCCTAAACCCTGAACTGGGGATTCTGGAGTCTGTAAGAGCTACAAATTTGTTATGTACCTTGGTGAACAGCTACACCAACAATATTGCCTTACTAACAGAGCAGCATCTCACCACATTGTTTTCTTAGCTGCCCTGCTGTTTAATGCCACTGCTATCTGAAGGTGGTTTTGTGGACTACGTATGCATGGACCTGAAGTCACTTAGCCCACTTGTTCAGCTTCCCTAGGCTGCTTTGTCTGAGCATGGGTAAACGTAGGCTTGTCTCCCAGGTCAAAGTTTCAAAACAAAGTGCAAGATCCAAAGAACACTGCCTTGCAGGAATTATTTTTCCATGCAAGAGCCTTTAGGATTCAGATATGCTTCTTGGTTTATTCCCTGTGCCTTCCAGGCTTTGGCTCAACCTCTCTTCTACTGGCTAAAGAAAAATGAATGGGATTCACTGTGGTACCTGGTGCTACCATTCTTTGATTATTTGGCCAGTGTGGGTTCCTCTCTTGGCCTGGGGAGGGGTATACTGCAACTGCTACTGACTTCATGTTAAAATATTAAAACTTGAAAAGGAACCAAAGTGCTTTACATGGTAGTTCAGATGTACCATAGGGCTGCCCATTCTCTGTCATGAGTGGAAAGTCTCTCTCCAAGAATTGTGCACCATCTTGTCTCTTAGTTCAGCAGGTTGGTTCACCTACCAAGAGGTCCATTTGTGATTGGGCGCATGGTAGAGTGTCACCAAGTGTATCAGTCTTCTGTATCTCAGAAGAAGTATAAGGGGGGTAGAACGGGCTGGTTTGCTTTCACAGCTGGAGACAATCTGAATTCATTGGCTTTGCACCATGGATATTTTGTTGCATTTGATTCTAGCCCCCCACAAAGATTTACTGGGTCTGAACTTCTTGTGACATCACAGCATACTCCGAGCAGTTAGAATTACTTGAATCCAGATGCATACCAGGGCTGATGCAGTTGAGGAGAGTGGGCAGAAGTATTGGACTATTTTATGTTCATGACCAGTCCATAGATTGCTTATGATTTTATCAGCCTGATGTTTGTAATTGTTCAGCCTGTAGTTTTTACAAACATGTTTGGCTTTTAAGAACCATTTGAAGTCAGTGCTCCTGCTTATATTTCCTGGTTTGTGTAGTGTGATTTGTCACTGAGTCTTACAGCTTGTGTTTCCTACTGGATGACCTACCTTCTGAGTACAGAAACTGTGCCTGAAGGGATCTTCAGAGGTGGAACTTTTCAGGGAGCGTGTGGGGGAGTTCTTTGCTGGCTTAGTTTTAGGATGCTTAAGATCCTTCCCAGTGTTTTCTTGTACAAGAATGATTATCATATTTGGTTAAGTACATTATACCCCAGGTTTAAAAATAACTAAGTTTCTTCCTGGCTAAAGAGGAAGTATGAAGGCCAGATTTATTGGCTGTCTAGCATTAAGTAATCTTTGCCCCCTTCTCCCTGATTTACTTTGCAGCTTGCCAACT